AATATATAGATGTTAAGCATCATTTCATTCGTGATATGGTCCAAACAGGTGAAATTTATGTAAATTATGTTCGTTCAAAAGATCAAATAGATTATATTTCACAAAAGCTTTACTACTAGACCTAAACCTATCACAGAGTCGAGTATGGGTCAAAATTGAAAATTTTGGACCCGACCTCGACCCATCTACCTGACAAGTCTTGTGCTTATGGTCCCTAAATAGAGTCCGATGGGTCTTGGATCGGATCCGAATCTTCCTGAATAAAAATAAGGTCTGACAAAATTTGCATATGAATTGACTTATAGAGCCATTAAGAATGACAATGCATCGAATTGGCAACATCTCAAGCAGATCTCTATGGTATGAATTGGCTTACATAAAAATATTTATTGTAAAATATTAATTATTATTGTATTTAGAATTATTTATATTTTATAATTATTAATGTATGAAATAGGTTCAGGTCGAAATCCTTTATTTCATATCCAACCCACTTTTTTGTTAGAGTAAATGAGTCTGAATCCAAGTCCAGGTAATGGGATTATTTCTCAATCCATACCTGAAATAAACTAGCATGTCTAAATAGGATCCGAGTCCAAACCCTAACCATTGACAGCCCTAACTGGATCAATGTTTATACTTAAGAACAAAATTGGGTGTTGTAGACAAAAATCTTTCAAAATCTTTGGTGTCAACCATTATCAGACATCTGATACTAAAGAACAGACGTCTAACAAAGTTCTAGCATACTTTTTCTAGATTCTATGATTTGGATGGATGCTTCAGATGTCGAAATGTTGTTTAGACATCCAACGCGTGAGAATTTGTGTTTTTAAGGATTTCAAACATTCATTTTCTCTATTTTCCTTTAACTCTATCGAACAGAAACCACCAAGAACCCTAACATTTTTCCTCTCAAATTCATTCAAATTGACTAATTCTCATTTAAAATTGATCCAGCAAAGTGATCCTTTGCTTCCTAAAGCATCCATTGTCATCCAAATCTTTTCAAAATAATTCCGTTTTGGCAAAATCCATACGCAACCCAAAATTCCTAAATCTTAAAAATTGTCTCTGCAACCAAATTTGCACTTATTTCTTCACTTAGGAGCACTAATCATCACTGTTAGGCTCTGCATTCACTACACCTACTATACATTCATCATGGTTCACACATGACGAGTATCTTCTTCTGCCGAACGATCAACTGCTAGACAAACAACCTCTACCGAGACTCTAACCTATCGAGATCAATTCAAAATCAGCAAAAGGAAGTCTAAGGTGCCAAAAACACGCAAAAGCCACAGCAAGGACAGTAACAATAACAATAACCTCAGCAACTTCCCAGATTCATTGATGATAAGGCTAAGAAAAATATGCTTTGGCATTCTAAAAGGGATTCATCACTCAAAAGTCCATCAACTCTTTTGACTTTCACAAATTTAACCTTCAATCGATTCTTAAATACTTTAGGTTTCAAAAATTATTACACTTGCTCACCTTTTCCAATACTTACATCAATTTTTTGCTAATCTTAGGAAGGATAGTTCTCACACTAAGATTGTTTCTCGTGTGAATGGTATTGACATTTGTTTTGATCCTAATATGGTAAATCTGGCTTTGAACACAAAATTAGAACAAGGGTGTTAGACTAGAATTGCCAATTTTTTCTCTTATGAAGAATTTTTCACTGCTATCCATCATTTTGATGTTGTTAAGTTAATGACGTACTTCAAAACTCATTTTAACACACCTGCTGAGACTAAATTGGATGACCTTGACCCTATCCATTTCATTATCGTTACTATAATCTTTAATCTTTTGGTTCCTACTAATGATCATAGGACAAATGCGAATAAAATGGAATTCTACTTATTATATTGTGTCATAAAGAAAATTTGCATTGATTTTGGTTTCGTCATGTGTCGCTTCCTACTTAGACTTAGTACCAACACACATAGAAAATTATCTTATATAAAATTTCTTAAGCTCATTTTCAAACATTTTAATGTTCCCTTTACTGGTTCTTCTCCGAAGGAAAATTTCACTTGCTTTTTCACCAAAAATTACTTTAAAAGAAAAAATATCAAATTTGTTCTTGATTCTTAAGTTTACAAAGAGGTTGGTTTGGAATCCAGTTTCAAGCATCTTCATGATACCCCAACCACCTCATCTCGTCCTTCTAAATGTCCTAGAGTTGAGTCTCCCATCACCATTCACCCTCATACTCTTTCTACTTCCTCTTTGGACCCAGTGAAGAGCCTCCCATTTGAATATTTCTTCTTCTTGAACATGGAATCAACATGGTTATAACTTTGGAGCAACAAAACAAGTTTATAGACATGAAGAATCTACTCTTCCCACCTCCACCTCAAGAAAAAACTCCTGTTCAAGAGATGCAACTAAGAGAGAAGCCTTTGAACACTGAAGCTATTCCTCAATCCATTCCTTAACATGCAAAAGGCATGCTAGAAAGTGTACAAGAGGCACAAGACTTAGCACAAGCTATGACAGCTAAACCCAAGACCATTCAAGAGGAGAATGATGAAGCTACTAAGGAAGAGCTCGATACATCAGAATTTCAACTCGTAAGAAGAAGACTAGGATCATCATGTTTTTAGTTTTAGATCCCTTAGTCCCTAATTGCCATCTTCATGTAGTTTTAGAGATCCAACAATTCATAGTCCCATACATTTCATGTATGGTGCATAGTTTTCCTTTTTTGTTGGACAACTTATGTATGTTGTTTTTAGATGCTTTAATGTTTTGGTTATGTTTTAGAACCTTGATAAACTTTGATATTTTGGCTATTTTTGGCACTTTGATTATGTTTTGGTTGATTTGTTATCCTTCCAACCTTTGGACTCTACTTGACAAAGCTGTTGGTCTTGTTGATAAGGAGCTTACTCTCATTTTTAAAGGATACTCTGCCTAATTTTTCTCAAATTCATATACTTTTTGATTGATTGTAAAAAAAGTGGAAGTAATTATGTAAAAAATAATTGCGTAAAAAATATGTTGAGAGGGAATAATTACATAAATTGGTTTCATTATCAGTAATATTGAAGGGGACTAATTGTTTGGTATTTATGCTTATGCAAAGGGGAAGCATATCTTTTAATTTCAAATGTTCTCAAAACCATCATTTGTTTTGTCCTCATCAAAAAAGGGGAGACTGTTGAAATTGATCCTTGATTTTGATAACTAAAACAAATTGATGATTTAGACTAATGAATTCATGTAAGAAAGCATTCAAAACAAGTATCAAGTCTAAAAGATTGAGGAAAAGATTTGAAGCAAATGAAGGTAATAATTGCTGAAGATTTCGGACACTCGCAT